TTTTGAAGATAGTGGAGAATTTGTTACACCATTAAATTCATGGAAAAGAGGTAATGATATTGGTTAGTAATAACGTATTTGAAGTTAATTGTATTTGTTTAGTTATCGAAGGAATTTATTTACGAAAACTCAATCTTTCACCATTTGTTGGTTCGATTGTGCATGAAGTATGTTAAATAAATTTTAGATTAAAACAGTTATATGTGAAATTAGATTTAATCTCCATTCTATAGAATCGAATAGTTAATAGGAACTAGAGATATGTATTGCTTGGTCCTTGTCTCTCTTCTTATATACTCGCTGTAAAACCCTATTATTAGGACTTTTTCTTTTAAAAGAGAATTTCTGTCAAACATTGAAAGTTATGAAAAAGATGTAATCGTTGACACATTCGAATAAAGTGTTCTGTTTGATTTTTAGTCCCAAAGGCTATAGAATGAATCTAGACAACTTAATAACGACTGTTTATCTCGGTTCAATTGTCCGATAGCAGACTGATAATGTTGTGATATACAGGTGATGTTGTTAGTGTGTATGAGAGACTCAAGCAATTAAATACAAGAGCTTTGCATCTTCAGACTGAACTTTCATACATTGTTACAGCTAGTACTAATAGTATGGAAAATATCGAGCTATTGAGTCTGTTTATAGACAGCATTCCATAACACAAGGTAGCTGAAAAGCAGTAGTATTCTTCTTCTTCCTATTACCTCATTTCGTTACTCATTTGTTAGATTTATCAAGTAAACCATAAGCATGATTTCTTTAGTTACTGTTAGGCGTGACGGTGTCGTTTGCTGGAAAAGCTTTCTAACGGTAACGGCCTTTGCCTGGCTATTTAGGCGCGATGTTATGAGTCCGAGATAATGAATACATCATTTTGATAATTCGTTTCTATTGGACTTTCATTTGTTATTCATAACATTATCTTCTTTCTAAAAAAAAGATTATTTTCTTCTTCGCATCTAACACTATTAACTTCGATCAATATTATTTATTGTATTTAGACACCACTTTCACTTTTCTTCTACTCCAAATTACATGCAATAACAAATGGACATGTTGAAGGTTTATTTATTGTATGTTTTTATATCGTGATGTTTGTTATATATATATATAATTGTACATTTCTTTTGTTAATAGGCAGCTGATCTAATAAGTGCTATACTTACTTATAAGATAGCACATCGAGTTTTAACACAACTTGTAAGTTAAATTTTCTATTTCAAATAAGTTTTTAAAATTATTTTGAATATAGTTCGATCAAGAAACTAAAGAAAAATCAACATATAAAAAGGATACTCAAGTATTATGGTTAACACAAGAAAATATTCAAAAGAGTGCTTATGCTGTTTTACTTTGGTAAGACGATGGTTAAAGTTTTTCTCTTGTTTTTTTTATCAATCATTTGTATTGATTTATTAAATAGTTCAATGATAAATCCATTGTCTATTGGTACATGTCTTGCTAAATCAAGTCTTGTTTTTCATAATCTATTACTCACTATGACATTTTATTTCTTTATGACATGTAAGATTAATTTCTGATTTTCATTGATAACATATATATGCAAATATTTATCATTTAGATCAATTGTTACCATTTATAGTAACATTGTGTTTGGCTAGTTCAATATCACTTTATCCAATTGTTTTAATTGCACCAGCTCTACTTCAATTTTCAAAAACTGATGCTGTATGTTGTTTAAAAAAAATAGTAGAAAAAAAATCATGGAATTTGTTTTATTATGATTTAGAATAATCGATCAATAATTCGTATATTTCTTGTAATAATTTTATTTATTATTGTTAGTATTGGTATACTCGCATTAAATTTTTTTCTTAATCATCAATCATGGTCATTTATTGAATCTATATATAGTTTTATGTAAGTGTTTAGTATTTGTTCGTTTTGAAAATATTTATTTCATATATTTGATTAGTTTTCATGTACCAGATTATACACCAAATATTGGAATATTCTGGTATTTTTTTACTGAAATGTTTGATCATTTTCGTTCATTATTTGTTTGGACATTCCAAATGCATGTTCTTTTACTTTATTTACTTCCATTTACAATACGATTAAGGTAAATTTTTATTTTTTTTTTGAAATAATTTTAATCAATTATGATTTCTTGTCTTTTTCTTTTTCAGACATGATCCAATATTTCTTTTTTGGCTTTTATGTGCATTATTTTGTACATTTAAATCATATCCAGCTTATGGTGATGCAGCATTCTATTTCAATTATTTACCAATATGGAGTTTTCTATTTCGATGTGAGTTGAATATATTAGAAAAACTGCTCATGCAATCTCTGTAAGATTTTAATATAAACCATGTTGTGCCTACTGTTGCTAATCACAAGTGTTTCCAAAATTCAGTTTCAGAAACTGAGACGTTCGTAAAATTTTATTATGACTTCAGAACAGCATTTCAGTGACAGAATAAAGGTCTTTTTTTTTCACTCGGAAGATCCTTGCTTTAAAATGAACTTGCCTATCCCTAGTCGCAAAGACATCGGTTACGGTCTATATGGAGGACGGGAAGAGCTACAAATATCTACCGGTATACTTCACCATTCCTTCTATATCATGTTTGACAAAATCGAATAAAGAGAATATAATAAGATTAATTATTGATTGAATTAAAAAAAAAAATTTTCTTTTTTCTTTAGATGTACGACATAGTCTTATTATAGTTTGTATGGTTCTTGTAGCAATTTTAATGGCACCAATAACATGGTATCTTTGGATTTATACAGGCAGTGCTAATGCTAATTTTTATTTTGCAATGACCATGGTATTCAATGTTGCACAGGTGAGAAATATTAAATTTTGATGTGAAATCATATGTATGAGCCAGCTGAAAAGAGAATTTAGTTTCTATTCTTTTAATATCAAAGAAAGTTATGATGAAGTCTAAGTTCATAAAGAATTTATGATATTAGTCGTTTGATAATGAAGTCCATTACAATATTATATTAGAGTTTCATTCTTTCTGTTGTTTTCAATAAAACACGACAAAAAAAAGAGAACTATTACTACAATAAAACTTGACCATGAATGTATGATATTTATAAAAAACAAAAGTTGATTAAGAAAGTAACTTGAAGTCATTTTTTTTTCTCTAATTTTTAGACATTTCTTACTTCTGATTTACTTTATGCTTATTTAAAACGAAAATTTTTTCTCAAAAATGGTCTTACTATTCCACAATTCAATGGCGTCGAAGGTCAATTAGAATTTTATTAAGCTCTTTATACCTATACTGATCAAATAAAGACTACATGCTATGACATCTATGCTACATTTGGCATACATTTGTTAATTCGTTGTAGACAAAAAAAAAATCAAATATGTACTAACATTTTCTTTCATTCATGTTTTTTCTATGAAATAAAAATTTTTACAAACAGACGTTAGTACTTCTATACGGATGTCTAAAATACAGAAGAATTGAATAATATCTATAAGAAAGCAACAGTTACATAACTAATGTCGTTCATTTAACTTGAATTATTATTGTATATGAAATTTATGTGTATGTCTGTATCATAAATTATCAAATGGCGTTTCAATGACGAATTTTTTTATCAAAAAAAAAAAAAAGAAATGTCAAATTCAGGTTTCAAGATTAGATTGCTTTGTAGTCAATAAGATATTACACCAAATAAAACAGAATTTATTTCCAACTGCTAACTTTCGATTGACAAATAATTCTACCTGAGAATAAGTCTAATATCTTTCAATAGGGATGGAATGTTGATCACCGATCTTAGGTAGAGCACTGTACTAGTGTCTAGGTATGCACATATAGAATAACGATGAACACGTAATAAAACTATAGTGATCATAGATTAGTTTCGACTTTTTCGATTGGAGGTGATCTATTTCAAGAAATAAATTACGAGAACTGACGAGAGCATTTCTCCAAGTCTCAAATCGCTTTTCGGTCAAGACAATGTTCTCAATCGGAGGCGATCATATCTTTTTGTTAAAAAAGTCATTGAAATTTCGATATATTAAGAATAAAGGTCTGGAAAATCAAACCATGCTAGACTTTTCTATTAATCTTTAAATGAATATCGTTTAGGGTCGAAAAGCGATTCGGCACTTGGAAAGATTCTTCCATAATTCTTTCTCGAACAAGAAAATAGAACTGAAGAATTTCGACAAATCTCTTTTCTCGACACGTACAACCTTTGTGTTGTTTTATGATTCGTTCACCGTTAGTCTGTACATACATGTTTTTATCAGTGCCAAACTACACATAAGATAAGTGTACTGATCGTTGCATCTTTAATTTTGGATTTTTCTTTGTGTAAAAATGTTCAGATAGTTAATGATGATTAATAAGAAATCATTATGGAATGATTTTTTTTTCATCTTTCAAAATAGTTGAATATGTATACTAAAAGAAATGACATATTCGGAATATAATTGAATTCCACGATCAAATAATTGATTTTGCATTTGAAAAGCCGTATCTACTTAGAAGAAAGTCTAGTTTTATTTATTAAGGAAATTCAATTAGTTTGTGACTTTTCAGATTTCTTCAAATATATTCATTAATACAGTGAGAAACTCACAATTTAGTTTACTATTTAATACAGAGTTCCACTATCAATCTAGTGGCAAATTTTATTATTCATTGCTTTAAAAAAAGGAAAACACATTTATTGTTCGAAAACAAACTTTGCAATGCTAAAAACACACATCATGTTTACATTTAATATATATGATTATAATAAGTACACATTAATGTCAAGTATAAATCGTATAAACGGAAGAAAAAATAATATTTTAAAATAAATTCTTTGCTTTTTTTTTTGATTTTAATATTTGTCACTGCTCATATTTTGTTTAATCGAACAAGAAAAATATTTTCGTATTCGATACTTATATAAAATATAAATTCATTTCAAAAAAAAAACAAACAAAAACAACACACACACTATAAAAATCAAAAAGATAAAAACATATCGATTAAAAATTATTATCTGACTTGATAAACAACAATCGATGCATGATCTAATTTTCCAGGTACTTTTCCAACTTTATCTCGCATGTCAATTTCAAATTGATTACGTGCTGAACCTTGTATACCTTCATTTTCACGTACACCTTGTTCAATAATATGTCTTTGTTCAGCAGTCAATCGAATAACATATTGTAATAAACGATTACATAGATCTAAAGCATTCAATTGTTCTTCATTATCAGCTATAGATAAATGCATACGACGAAGACTATATGAATGTCTTTCATATGCAGTCATTAATGTAAGTGGTATATCTGATATTGAATTACTTGATTTTCGAACAAGTAATGGAGTTTTAACACTAGCTGCTGAACCACTTACACAAGGATCATAATTATCACTAATACCATCTGTTGTTAAAAATACAAAATCACCTTGTTCAATTTCCATTAATGAATATGTAAGATTAGATAAATCAGCTTTTTCAGTCATTGTCATACCTAAAGCACCACCTGGTGAACGCATATCACGCTCATCATTTAGATTACGAGATCCTTAACAAATAACAAGAAATATTATGAGATTATTAAGAAATCAAATTGATAGAAAGAAAATAATAAAATACCTTGTGTTAATTCAAATACAGATTTTTGTTTTCGACTATAAACATAAGCATTCGAATCACCAACAATAGCTGAACAAACAAACCATCGACGATTTGATGGACAAATAATACTAACAGTTAATGTTGTTAATGAACCGTTATTTTCAATAATTAATTGTTGAGCTGCATGAATTGCTGCATTTATTCGTTCGAATACATCCTATAAACATAATTTTATACCAATAATATAAACTAAATAAATATAATACTTTTGTAGTATTTAATTTTCTTTCAAATAGTTGCTGATTAAGACAAGCCATCGCACCATGTATTGCACATCGAGCAGCAAGTCGTGGTTTATATCCCCAATTAACACCATCAGCAATTGATAAAATAGCATTATTTTCTTGTGCACATATTGCAAAACAATCAGCAATTGGTTCACCTAAGATAAACATGAATAATTTGAATAGAAAATAAAACTACATATGAAATGATATGTTTTTTATTTACCATTTACTTCTCCTGTAAATGGATTATGATCGTAAAGTGATGTTGATAGACCACAAGCAAATTGTACATTAGGCATTTGCCAATTGTTTTGACCAGCTACTTTTATGGAATTATTCACTTTTAAAATTCCTTTTTCTAACAAAATAATTTTCGAAAAAAAAAACACAAATCTTTTGATAAATAATAGAAAAAGAAACTATATGTTACTTTGATGACGAGCAATATCAACTAAACCAACATCCGGACCAGATTCGCATGCAAGTGTATTATTACTTAATGGTGAAATTACTTCAACAGGTAATTGTAAATAATCTTCATTGGAATAAAGACGATAACGATCAAGACTATTCGATGATTGAAAACTATAAATATTCATATGAAAAAGAAAAACAAGATAATCTTCAAAAATCAGAAGACTTACAAAGATGCAATTTTTTGCCATGTGAATAGTCTTTCTTTATTCATCTAGAAATCCAAGAGAAAAAAAAAAGGCAAAATATCACAACCAATTAACAGAAAAAAAAACAAGAAAAAAAACATTGCTTTATTTCGTTTCAGTTAAAATAGTTGGCATAGTACATGTAATATGAATTGTCGATACCCAACGTGTATCACTCATTGGTTCAAGATCATCTAATAATGGCATTAAATGATCAGTTACTTCAATACTTGCTATTTTTGTATGTAATTGACAATTTGTTTTCAATTGAAATTGTAATGCTAAATTAATTGTTCTTTGTAATGCTGAACCCATACCATGAATAAATATTTCTCTATAATTTCCATTTGATGATATTAATTTCATACAACGTTCTAATTGTGCTTTAAAATTTGTTTTACGTGTTACATAAATATCATTTGGACGTTTAGAAAATTGTTTATTATTCAAACGTTTAAATATTGTATATTCTTCTGGATCACGATGAAATTTTTCTTCACTCATCTAGAATAATTTTAAAAAAAAATAATATATAAATACAAAATAATAAAATAATAAGGAAAAAAAAAACATATAATTTTTTGTTCTATTTTAAGTTTGGTAAAGATGAACCAAAATAAACTTTTAAATCATTCAATGTTGTTCGTACAAGTTTAGCACGAATTGTTTCAGAATTTAAACGTTTATGAGCTCTAAATATAAGAACCCACTCGAAACAAAAGAGATAAATGAAAAGAACAATCTCACTCCCAACGATGACAACCACCCATAGCAAAAAAATAATTATTTCCTGAATTAGTTGCTTCATACCAAAGAACATCAATAGGAGGAACTTGATTAGATTCCATTGTCTAAAACGATTGTACAATTCTAGGAAACAAAATATTAAATTATTAATTATCACTTGAATAGTTTCCATTAGAGATTGAACTTTATTTTCATCAAGTACAGATGGTAATGGACGGTTTATATCTTTCATTGGAATATCATATATTTCTTCAATCGATGCTGAATGAATCGATGATGGTTCATTAGATGAACAAGCACTGCTCGTCTGCGACGAACTCATTTTTAGTATTGAGTTGATGGACGGAAATAATGTAGCAGAAAAAAGATTTATATAAATGACTTTAGTCAGCATTATAATGCAATATTCGTTGTTGATTGATCAAATTATGGCTGACAACACAATGGATGAGTCATCATGGAATAGATTAGTGGTAGTAGTCTAGTGACATCTAAAAAGCATATGTTTTCGATATTATCGAAGTATTTCCTAAGCAGACATATAGGCGATGAAATGAAAAGCGATTTCAGAATATATATTATTCTTTCATATAGTAACAGCAAACTTTTCGAAACTTAGCCAGATTATTGAATCAATATAGTACTACACAACTGACATTTTTGAAAACTTTGATGAAAATAGAATAACATTACTATAATTTCTTAGTGTTATTTGAGAGAATATCACCTGGAATTTTACAGCTATTTTGAAGAATGTATGTACAATGATATGTATAGACTCACATGAATTTATTCATATTTTAGAAAGAAACGATAAATTGTGGAATCGTTCAAACTTGTTGGATCTACGTATGGTGTTTATGGGCAACATCTACCGATAGTTTTTTCACATATTGATTTTTTAAATCAGTCGTGAAAAAATACATAGAAGGCGGTATATTGTGTTAGGAAAGTGAACCCGATATGTTTCAAAATTCAATCCGCATCCGATCCGACCCAACAAAGTTCAACTCGCGCCTGTCCACGAGTCGCGGATCGGGTCGGGTTGCAGGTCTCTATTGAAGGCGAATAGAAAGACGAATTAAAATGAACTGATGCTTATCAAAAAGAAAAAAATACCACATCAAATAAATAATTCAGCTGATTCAACCTAAATATCCCGCTTTCGGTGACTTGAACGAGAAAATGACATTTTCATAAAAAATACAATGAACTATTTTTATCCGTCAATGTTCCATATAGGCAGTTCAAGTTAATAAATATTGGTGTCCGTTTTCTTACCTGATTTTCTATATAGAAGCTTCCTATATAATAAAAGTACATTTGCTATTTTCATAAAAAATACAATGAACAAGATTACTCAATTCAAAGATTTGTCCAATGATTTATTCTTGAATATTTTTGATTATTTACATGCTTTGGATCTTTTTATGGCATTTTCTTCACTCAATAAACGTATTTCATTGATTATATTATCAACTCAAATACATGTTGTCGTCTCAAAACTTTGTTATCGTTATCAAATTAAATTACTCTCTTTTTATCTTACTAATCATTCTCATCAAGTCATTTCTCTTTCACTTAAAGAGATCAACTTCGTGATTTTTCATCAGTCATTCTTTTCTTTTTCAATAAACATAGATTTGTTAATCTTTGGTCATGTATATTTTCTTTTATTTGTTCATCATCAAAAATTAACCGTGTCATTCAACAATAGTCAGAACTTTGACCAAACTTGAATTGTTTCGAATAGTACAACCATATAACATATCATTGTCTATATCTAATAGAGTCAAACGAAAATTAAGCAAAACTATCTTAAAGCATAGATTATCTAATCTTCGTTCAGTTCAACTATCATTTTGCTATGATTATCCGTATTTGACTAGTAACACAACTATTAACTGAACATTGACATCACTTCGTATCCTATTTTATGACTCATTTACTAATTGCTCGATTTATGATATCCGGCCCATTCTCCATACTTATCGTAGATTACGACAACTACAGATAGCTATTTACAGTGTCAATGGATCAAATACACATCTTCCAATGTAAGTTATTATATTAGAGCGGAGATGGATAGAATGAGTCATCAGTCGAATTGACATAAACAGATGTCGAGCATTGGTTCCTTAAGCGTAGTATTTATGAATGTATCGCCTTCGATTTTAATATAACAGTGTGCATTGCTGGTGAGAGATATCTCAAAGAAATAATGAAATTATTATTTTTTTGATATGATTGTATAATTTAGTTTTATTGATCTTATTCTTAGCATTACTATTTGTCTGTAATTATCACTTGTAATAGACTAATAATTAAGTAGGTATTGAGGTGGATAAGTAATAGCTAAATAGCAAGGTAGGTAGATAGATAAATAGATAGAAATGGACGTAATTTTTGTCATTCTTTCGATGAGAATAGTTGTGAGCGATTCGCTCAAATTATAGGACCTTTTATTCATCGCTCAAAAGACAAACAGCAAAGGATGCATTCTAAAAAAGTAAAAGGTCCTTGTTTGTAAAGAAGAAGATGTTCTAGAAAACTGAGAAACGTACTCCATTTTTCTAGAATTTTTTTTTTCTGGAAAAATTTTCATTGGGATATAAAAGTTTGCATAAGTGAGTGTCATCGAGTGCCCCTTTCCGTTTATCGTTTACGAAGAAAAGTAAATGTGTTTGATGCAATGATGGTTTTGTGTATGCACATAAAAGTGTATATAACTTATCTTGACTAGTTTATGTCTTAGTCTATGATCTGACGAAAAAAATGACGATTTTTTTAAGTTGATGAAACTTAGAATAATTGGATAAAATTTGTAGCAAAAACCGAGCTTATCTGATTCTAGAAATGTAAGGCGCTGTATGGCTCCGCAAACCACTCTTGAGATATATTCAAAATGAGCGCCCTCCATAACACATTTTGGTCCATATCTCAAGAGTGGTTTGCAGGGCCATACTGCGCCTTACATTTCTAGAATCAGAAAAATAAGCTTGATTTTTGGTACAAGTTTCATCCAATTATTCTGAGTTTCATCGAACTCAAAATTATCACGCACGCACTTTATCACTAGATCACGTACTATCTGACGATTCGAGCTGGTTAATGATCCAGCTGTTCGTAATGCCTGATGTTGAGCAACATCTATATCATTATTAGATTTGATTCTTTTTCATAAGTCAATAGTAATATGCGTTACTCAATAATAAATCAAAGACTCATTTCTGTGTTATAACTTCATTGCTTTATTTCTGATCAAAAGACATGTCGAATATGGTCGAATTAAGTCATCGTCAACTGAAATTCCTTTACATTCCGATGCTGGAGTAAGTTAATCTTTTCTTGTCTTGTTAAGAAGGTTGATTTGTTATTTGACATTGATAAATACTCTTCTTTTACTTAATTTAATTTAATAATTTGTTTTAACAAAAAACAAAAACTCAGTGACGTTTCGCATCTCCCCATGTCGCATATTTACTTGAACTAACGCCGGTATACCGCGGTAGTCGAGAAAACCGGCGGTATACCGTCGGTTGCTTCGAGTACCGCGGTATACCGACGGTTGCTTCGAGTACCGCGGTATATCGACGGTTTTCTTGAGTACCGCGGTATATCGACGGTAAAACTATCTCTTTTTCTCTCTCTATGTATATATATATGATAACGTTCTTTTTAATTTAGATGATTGTGAACATTGCAGTAAACAGTAAGTGTTTATTGTATGAATTATTATTACTATATTATTGTTTTATTTACGACGATCTCAGTACCAAAATGAAAAGTATGTATTCATGCCAAATATTATTATTTTATTATTTTTCTACTTTTATTTAGAGCAACTTTCAAAACTTCAAAAGAAAGTATTTATTTATTTATTTATTTATTAAGAACTATTTTATTTTTTGTTTAGATTCTTTTGAGAATTATTTAGTCGGGAAAATGTAGCAATAAATAGAAGTGTTTATCATCAAATATGCGATTCATTGTCTTATGAATCTGAGAATGACTTTATATTATCGTATACAAAAAATTAATTTTATTAAACTTTATCATTGGAAAATTATTTTTTTGTTTTAATTTCAGTATTATATTTTGGTCGTGAGTGAAATGTAGCTGTTTCTGAGAAGAGACAATTTAGTAAGAGCTATATTTCACTTACGACCAAAATTTAATACTGGAATTAAAACAAAAAAAATAATTTTCTAATGATAAAGTTTAATAAAATTAATTTTTTGCATGCGATAATATAAATTCATTCTCAGATTCATAAGAGAGCAGATTACTAGGTTCGCACCTTGATTTTATCGGTAAAAGATGAAATTACCGCCGGTGTTTTTGCAACTACCGGCAGTACCACCGGTTAACCGGCGGTAGAGCGCACATTATACCGTTCGGTCAACCGGCGGTATACCGCCGGTTTTTTTCCGGTTCTAATCACATGGGTCGATAAGATGCTTCTCAGACATAAACATAAAACAAATGACTGAACATACAATAACTTATACAAGTGAAAACACAGTAACTAAGAACAAGTAAATTAGACTATTTTCTTCTTTTTTAGTCATTGATAGTGATACGGAAAAGGATTAACTCCCTATCTAGCTGTCACTGTTGCTGTCTTGTTTTTCCGTATCACTATCAATGACTAAAAAAGAAGAAAATAGTCTAGTTTGCTTGTTCTTAATTACTGTGTTTTCACTTGTATAAGTTATTGTATGTTCAGTCATTTGTTTTATGTTTATGTCTGACGAAATATCTTATAGAGATACGAAACGTCACTGAGTTTTTGGGTGTGGGTGTGTGGGTGCGGTGTGTGGGTGTGGGTGGGTGTGGGTGTTGGTCTGGATGTGAGTATACTGTTCTGTTACACCCATACCCACACCCACACGCACACCCAGACCCACACCCACACCCTACGGTGTGCACTGTAGTTTTGATAGCTAAAAAACTGAGCTAAACTCGCATTTTCCAGCTATTTTAGGCTAATTTTGCTTGATTAATGAAGTGCCATTTTCTATCTAAACATAAATGGATTTTGAAACTTTTTCTAATGAAAATCTTCACAATGACCTCCTCTATCTATCTGTATCCTTTTCGAGTCCAACTGATATCACTTTAGCGGAAAAAATGAGCAAATCCTATTTTGTTCTTATAATTTTGACCAGGTGAAAAAAAATCACTTTTTTGTATAGATATTTTTTTAATGAAAATAAACAACGTTGAAAAAATTCTGAGTCGATATTTGAATAGAGCATACCCGAATGCATATATGCTGACAGACAGATCAATTCAAGAAGGAAAAAAAATAGTGAAAAAAAACTGAAACATATAAAAAAACGCTTGTTCTTATATTTCTGCCCAGTACTGTATATGGTGGAGCGTGCCAATCTACACATGCAAAGATATGGGAATTAAGGATGTAATAATATCAATACGATATTGAAGTATCAGTTATTGATAGATATAATCATTTACGATGATGTTACGAAGTAGCAAGTAACGAATTGTTCCTAAGTTTGATTTGTTTGTTAAAGAAAGCCTATTTTGTGGATGTAACGATTTCTATAAAATTTGATCGATGTCTTTTGAATCTCGAAATCTGAAGTTTTAGTTTGTTTCTCACAACTTTTGAACTTCGTTTTTCACTGCAAATCATCAATAGAATCAGTTTCCTTGATCACGAGAATTTTCTATCAAACTTTATTTTAAAAAATATTATTTTCACAAAATAGACTTTTCTTGATGAAAAAAAAATCAAACGCACAAATTTTCTATTACGAACTATTGAGTAATACAATAATAGCTAATGTTTCCCAGTCATAAACCGATGTATCATACGACTCGATAAACGATGAATCAGTGTATCATCGGTGCTAAAGTTCGCAATGGTGTACCATCATTGTTGCATTCTAATTCGAAACAATCAATTGGTAAGTGAATTTACTCAATCTATATCATAGTACAGATAAATCTAATTCAATTATTGTCAATATGTATTTTTCTTACATTCAAATGCAAATAAAACACAATAATAGAAAAATAAAATATATTTGTTTTCTTATAACAAAAAAAGATAAAATTATCAGAGAAATTACTTATGGCTTTCTTTGAATATTTTGATTAAATAGTTTTATTTATTTGGAAATCGATTGAATTTTCATGTTAACTGTGATATATCCAAGAATAGTACAAAACAAGGAAATCATTATCTATACTACAATTTCAGTTTTAAATCGATCAATTACTCATCCAATTAACTTTACTCATTTGATTGACTCAGCAATATTGGATTCTTTTTTGAAGTAAATAAGTTTAATTATATCATATTAATGCAATAAAAGAACTACTAAGCACTGAGAATTTTTTGTCACTTATTGATTTCATACTGATTAGCGGCGGCGCCAGGAATTTAGACTTGGGTGGACTCAGACTCTCTGATTTTTTTTCAGGGTGGCCTCGACCTACTCAGTTTTAAAAAGGTAAAAAACGTAATGAGAACTTTATCGAAGTTTTTGATTTATTAGAAATGCTTCTTGTACCATAATAAATGTATCCTTCGTACCAACGTATAGAGAGCTTGAATATTTATTTTAAAAATATGTGATAAGATAACTTAATACAATAAAATTCTGCTATTCTTAAGATTTCGTGCAAATTTATCTATTATCCGTTCATAATCTATAGCAATATCACGTTCAACAGCCAACACTGTCAAGTCACTTAAGCGTTTATCAGACATTGAATTGCGAAGATAGTTCTTAATTATCTTCATCTTCGAGAACGATCTTTCGCAAGTGACTTGTGAAATTGGCATTGTAATTGCACTTTGGATCATTCATAATGTTTGTGGAAATGCAGCTGAGAATGAAATTAATTTGTTCAAGAACTGAATAACATTATTGCTTGTTTTAGACATGAACATAGATTTTATAGCAATAAATTCATTTTTTAAAGCATTTGAGTCAACATCAATATGATGACTAAATTCATCAACATCATTGATACTTAAAAAGTTTTTACTCTCTGGATAAACTGTAGCAATACTCTTCATAAATGACAATGTTTTTAATGAAAATCTATCATTTAATTCAACTAACATACAATCAATTAAAGGAAAATAAATCTGATTCATAAAATCTGTTGATGTAGATAATGTTATACGTTGTCCAACTGTTGAATTAATAAAACAATCATTAAATCTACTCGGAATTTTTGTTTTACGATGTATGTGATATTGTTGGACCAAATCAATTTCATTTACTTGACAAAAGCTTTTTGCTTTATCATAAATTAGATTGAATGATTGTTCATTACGAAGATTAGTTAGCTGCTGAATAACTGACGTGACAAGTTCTTCACCACGTACATAATCTAAAGCTGGACCTTGTGAAAGAAAGATAGTAATAATTCTTACAACTATAGAGTAAAAGTAAAGGTGTTACTTTTCAAATGATCACTTAAAACTTTTATTAAACCGAATATCTGATGAAGAATAAATGAAGTAATAATAAATATTGACTTTTTCAAATGCATTAAAAGTCCAGCTGCATTTATTGATCTTGAATCAGTACCTTCTTCGCTAATATTATCAAGAGCTTTAATTATTGCACTATAATTAACAATAACAGCATCAATACCCTTCCACTTGGAATCCCACCGGGTCTCTGCCCATAATTTTAATCTCGAAGATTGAACTGAAAAACAATTAATTCAAAAACTAAATGTTAAAAAATATCAGTGCAACAATTACCTAAATCTAATTGTTTTTGTGCTTGTTTGAAATATGTATTTGCTACTCCAGATGCAGTAAAAAATGAATAAACACTACCAATAATTGAAAAATAATCCCACATATAAAACACCACCTTGCATGTATCACTGATGACAAGATTAAGACGGTGAGCTGAGCAATGTATATATATGCTCTTTGGCATATATTTTTTCAATAAAACATGAACCCCTGCTTGTTGACCAGACATGACCGCAGCACTAAAAGTTCGAAGAAATAAAAATTCTTCAGGAATGGGTCGATTTATCAAAAAAAAACTTACCCATCAAAACATAAACAAATACAAGATTCTAAAGGAATATTCAAATTTTTCAAAAATTCAACTATCTTTTCAGTTAATGTTATTGCATCAAATTCTTGTAATGGAACAAATCCAAGAAAATATTCCTTGACGAAACTTGAAAAATCAATTAAACTATTATTAAGATCTGGAACAAATCGAATAACGATAGACAATTGCTGTGTACCACTAATGTCTCGACACTCATCAACCATCAATGCGTAATTACAATTCTTTACCTAACAGTAGCGAATAATCTTTTATTAACAATAAATAATTAAAATTCTGGCTTACCATCAATGAAATTTTCTCACGAATTTGATCACTCATAAGATGAATTAATTCATTTTGAATATCATGACTCAGGTAAGTAGCATGACTCGTAGAATCGTCGAAAATAGATTTAACTGTAGGATCAGTTTGTGCTGCCCAATGCAATAATTCGAGAAAGTTTCCCTTGTTTGCATTTCTGTAACATAGAGAAAACAAACAAAAAAAGATACAAAAAAAAATTTAAATAATATTGAGAGTTCATTGCTTCTTTAAATGTAAACAGCGTATTTTTTTTTCTTATAAATTTCGTATAATTATTTCTTTATAGAGAGCTCTCTGATTTTTTTCTAAACTAAGTTGAATATACATACTCTTCATCCTCTCAATGACCTCTAAAACTTATCATTTGACGTGATAAAAAGTTTAATGTTGAACATATTTTTAAAAGACGATCACGATTTCTCCGAATATGAATAAGTCGACTAGTATCTAATTGATCAATAACACTCGAGTTGGTTCCTCGTCGTTGTCTATAGGATTCATAGTTTTTTGTTGCAATTATATGTGATTGACTTGATACATGCTTTATCAAAGCACCATTATTATCCAACGATCTTTTCCAGTTATTAAAACCTGTTGAAATAAAAGCATCACCGACATTTAATTTATTAGAAGAAAAGTGACGACAATAATTGCAATAACAGCTATCCGCTTTGACAGAATACTCCAGCCACGGTCTTTCTTTATACCAACTTGATTGAAATGATCGGTTTTGATGATTAATTGGATATGTCGCTAGTTTTGGTTGAACAGGTAGATCATGACAAGATTTACTGATATCTTCTGGAACCGATGTTGCTTGAAAATAGTCTTTTGGAGAACTATTATTTGCAAGAGATGGTGTCGGAACTGTGGAACTAATATCCGATATACCTTGAATATCGGGAGATGAAGAAGGAAGATTTTGTAAATCAGATCACGATGATGATGAATTAATAATATTGAGTTCTATTTCTTGCTGATTGGGGTACGTTTTTTTTTAAACGAACGAAAGAAAAATTCGATTGTTTTACGTTTTTCAGGCTGCATGGTATTACTAGAGAATATTTTACACTAAATCTTTTTTCAATTCGTTTTCAATAATTAGCCAATAAAAACCTAGAAAAAAGTCTTCTTAATAATGATATGTTGAAAAATCTCTTGAATAAAAGATTATTAGTTTAGTGCGTTAAAAGCGCTTCTTAGTGTTCTCAAAAATTTTTTGGGTGCGCTCAGCCCAACCCCGCCCACCTGTGGCGCCGCCACTACAAGCATGTAACCGGTAGCGCACGGTCTGTTTAATACAAACAATGCAGCGGAATGCAGGAAATTGAAGCGTTAAAAGAGAACCATTGGGTAGTGTTTCTTTTTTAAATCAAAAAGAGATTGTATTTAATATTGTAGTCGAAAATAATAACTTCGATCAGTATTTGTGAAGTTTTCCCGTATAAATAAAAACTTCACAGTGATACGTATCATTTGGAAAAAAAAGCTTGTTAGCGCAGCTCCTGCGGAGCTGAAATGTGGAACTCACGTATACCTTTAGCTTTGTTACCTGATGCATCATCTGTATACTGAAAGAGTTCTCGTCAACTGAAGTTGTTTACCTTGAGAATCGATGAAAAGAGCGGGAATTTATTATTTATTTTGTATATTAAAAAAATATATTAAAAACGAAAATATTGTTTTTTCATTTAAGCGCGCTCGATTTCATTTATAATTATTGCTATAAACTCGATAATAATCTTTTTTTTTGTTTTCTAATTTAAAGCTATTTTTCTCCACCATCGACTATTTGATGAATACGGTTGTTGTAGTCTGTAATGGGGGAGGGGGGTATGTGTATGTAACAATCTTTTTAGTTGCTATGGTCTATAAGGGGAGGGGGGGGGGGGGGGGGTGGGGGTATTTTTTTTGTTTTTTGTTGGGGGGTGGTGGGGGGGGGGGGGGGGGGGGGGGGGGGGGGGG